TCATTTTTTCGAGTCATGGATATTTCGGAATGTATTCATACACATATCGTATAAATATCGACAATATCGACAATAATATCGGAAAATATCGATGTCGATAATTTCACTCACACTTCATCAATATTTTGTCAAAATATTGCTATAATATCGAAAATATCGAAAAAATCGATGTAATGGAAAAAATGAAGAAAAAAATAAACACAAAGCACACACGCAAAGGGGATTCAAACCCCTGCCGTTTCACTCCTCCAACGCCTTAACTACCATGTTGCTTATGTTTTTGTGATAATATGCTAAAATATGTATACTTTTCTAGTTTTGTTTTGAACTATTTTTGCAAAAATTAGATTTTCACATGAGAATGAGAGTCTTTGACCTTTCCCTTTTGGGATGGAATTGAGCGGCTCATGGAAAGAATCCGAGACCCAATCTTCAAATGATTTTGCTTATGAACAACGTCAACCAATCTCGGATCCATATGGGTGGCATGTTAACAATTACATGCAAAACTATTTTGGAGATTTATCATTTGATAACTACTCTTCACAATACACTTACTCTACACATAGAGATGATGAATATAGTGAAAATGTTGAACCTCATAGGAACTCTATGTGGTACTAAGTCACTCATGTATCTTACCATGCAATGTATAAAGTGTAAAATATTGTAGTAATTCATTATATATAAATGATTATGGTGTGTTTAAACTTCTTTCATAAATTACTACATATTTTCTACACTCACAGTGTTTGCCAGCTCGCTATATAATCAACTTAAATCAGTTAAATCCATCATGCAATGCATTTCTTTCCAATTTTTTGTGATAAACTAATAGATAATTGACTAAATAAACATCCTGCAAAGTTTCAATAAAAATTTCCAAGTATTTCTTACAATTTCCGTGGTTTTTATTCAATTTTTATCGATATCGATAATATCCCAATATTTTCATCGAAATTTCTGTGTTTTTGGACTACCGATATTTTCAATACCATTATATTTTAGACCTTGATTGGGACAATTGCTGATTATCCCACATTCCCACTACTACTAGAATCTAATGCTTGATTGAATGGACCCAAATTCTACAATTATTTAATTAATTAATTAAGCTCAGGTATATATGATTCCTTAAAATCTACTTGGCATGCTAAATCTATATATATTCTAAATGCAATATATATAATATGACTAAAGGACACAACAACAGACACACACCCTCAACCAGAAGAAAGGAAGGCAAAGCAAAGTGGAAGTGATCAATTGATATAATTCCAGCATTTTCTTAATGATTCTAATCTTTGATTTGCAATCACTCTTTTCCCTTTGACTAATCATCTCCAGTAGAAGAAGAAAGGTAGAAAAAAAAGATTTCCCCCTTTAGATTCCCAAAAGAAATAAAACCCACTGAAATGTTCATCTGTACAATATGTATTTTTGGGTAATAAAGAGGCTAATTGTCATTAAGAAATGACAATTTGCTTCCTAAAAGTAGTAATGACAAGCCACTTAGGGTAAGCTTGTTAATGATGGTAAAGTTGGCACCATCCCCAGCTATGGGACCGTTATTCCATTCAGATCCATACAATTCTTTCTCTCCCTCCCCCACCACTACTGCAAACAGCAATAGAAAGAACAAGAATTTGTCCTATAATATATTTTACCTTGCTGGACCAAAACGGAAGAAATTTTGCAGCCCTCATCATCATTAGGTTAATCCGTACCGTTTGATTACAAAAAGCAAAACCATAGACAATATTATCATCTTACATTCTTATCTAATCTCTATGTGGTCTTAATGCTCCTCTAACATTTTGGTAATTTTCTTTTGCCACAACATATATTAATCAACTTCTTTCTGTTTTTTTTAATACCATAATTCAATGGGAGAATCATGCCATCAACAGTTTTTACCATCCTTCATTCTAGTAACAAATCACATACGATTGAAAATTATCTCACTTGATTACATGACGAGAGAGAGAGAGAGAGAGTTTAGTGGGATGGCCACAAAGCTGTGGTGTACACGTCACACTTCTTGCTGACTAGCCACTTCTTCCTATTCCAGCCCACTACAAGGCACTTTATGCCACTACAGTTCTTCTTTGCTGACATCACCAATTCACCACCACAAATATAATGTTTCTTAATGATGCTAATCGAGGCACATGATGCCATAATCCACTAGTAACATATCTCTTTAATATATACCTTGGTCTTTGTATGGCCATAATTTTATAATTAAGCCTTCTATTTTAAGTTGTCCATCCAGCACCTGTCAAATCTATATAATATTTCATCAATCAGAGTTCAGAGGAAGGCTAACATTTAGTATTTGATATATCGTCCTCTATGTTAAGGAAATCTAGAAGAAAAAGATCTGTGGTCCTGTGTGCATATAGCATAATGGTCTTAGCTGGGATATGAAGTTTCCTCATCTACCAAAATGGACGAGCATAATACAGATATTCAACACAAATACTCATGACATCTAGTTCAAGTTGCACTAAGGTAGGGTCAGAAAGTGGAAAAATATTTGGGTGTGACGGTCATAAAGTTACCTACTGTAACTTACTTAAGTTTATGAATAGACGACAATATTGATATATGATGAACTTTAAAGTAAAATATTGTAAAAGGATACATCTGTTATAATATGAGTGGATTTATAATATCATACAACGTTGAGAAATTTCTGGCTCGTAGAATTTATTTTCATTTATACTGATGAATAAAACCCACACCTTTAAATTACAATATCTAACCTAAAATCAAATGAATATTCCTTGGATTGTAGCCACGGATATAGATGCATACGCCTGTTAAAACTAACATGCATGTTTTGAATCATATCGAGTGATACCATAATTGAGATTGAATTGAGACAGGATGAGAGATCTCAACCCACAACTCAGCTCACATATCAACCCGTATCTTTATTTTTAGTCCAAAGTACATGAATTTTCTAAGTTTTTTTAGGAATGTTGTTAATTTCCTTATGAGCCTATACGTATTACTTTATGAAGAAAAAAAAACCCTTTAACTTATACAACCTTAACTTTCTTTCATAGTATACAGCCTATAAGTATTATTTATTATTTTATCAAAGAAAAACTTCATTAACTACTAGCCCATATCACCACAATTAATTATAAACCCAAATAAATCCCACAAACCCAACATAACCGAAACTCTAAAGCAACCAATGAGCCTAGATGTACCCTACCACCACTACCTGAAGAAGCGTCGTTGCAGCCACACCCACCGCTGCATTCGTAACAGATATGAGGAAAATATAATTTACAACAATCTACTTGCGCATAAGAGCGAACAAATAACAAAAACAACAACCTGCCAAAAAACAATTTGGTGATTTGCAGCCTCTTCCATCAAAAACGATATAGAACCAAATTTAGAGAACATAAGCAGTGTTAAAGAGCGGGTTTTGGGAGAATGATTTAATTGAGAACATAGCCCAAAATGGGTGATGACGGGTTTTGGGAGAATGATTTAATTGAGAACATAGCCCAAAAGGGGTGATGGGGAACTTCAATCTGAGCATGGCTCAGAAGAACTCACCACAAGGAGTTTCTTATTCAAAACGCCCCAGTGACTTATTCACTTACCCAAAAGGAAAAGATGACAAGAGAAGAGAGGAAGAAGGGGCAGTGACGATGTTTCTTCCTCCTCCCCTTTATGGAATTTTCCATTAAGACTCATATAAGAAGAGAGCGACTATAATTTTCTCTTTCATAGTATAAGTTAAGCAAAAGCTTAAGCTCATGAAGGCCAAAAGAAGAAGAAAAGATTAATTAAGTCGACCATAATTTCCAATTCTTAGAGACTGTGTTTATGAAAATTTGAAATAATCAGCTATCACCAGAGAGTCCACTTGTTAAAGCGAGAAGACAAAGCTAACAAAAGCCCCACGCATGATGAGCTAGCCCTAATCTAAGACTGGTGGTGGGGCAATTGGGTTCTTGTACTCATAAACAGGAAGGAAATGAATCTAGCAAAGCATTTGAAAACATATTTCTGAGAATAATATCTCATACCATTTTCATATTTTAATTGAAAAGGGAAAGGGTCACTTATAGGGCACCACCTTAAAGTACAGTTTCTTCCTATTCCCTTGCTTTTCCAGATTTGTCCTCATATGCTTTATCTTTCCTTTGCCTTCTACACCTTATATGGCGTCTACTGAAGTGTTTAGGGTCACTTACTAGCATCAACATTTCCTCAAATTGGATGAAGGGAGAGGCTCTCTAGTGACTTCCATCAATTTATTCTCTTTTATCCAACCACACCAAGATAAAGCCAACCCTGTTTTATTGTGGACGCATGTCAAGTTTCACAATATATGTTCTGTATCTAGACTGTTGTTGAACTTATCAACGGTTTATATTCACAACTTGATCAATGGTTTATATTCACAATTTGTTTTAATGATGACATTCGTATGTAAATATATATGCAAACATTCATTCTTGGACTATTTTACAATGCAATTTTGTGATCATAATTATTTTTTTTTACGTTGAATATGAAGGTTTATTCTTGTGAAAAATTTGTCAAATCGAGAGTAGTTTGGTAATTTAAAAGAGAGAGAGACATAGCAAACCTCTATTAGCAGGCCATATCAACTAATTAGATGACTTATTAATCTTCTAAAAAATGGATCAAATTAGTAATAGTTTTTATTGATGATGATCAAGCTCTTGTTGCTAGACTTTATATGATTTGGTAGTTACACTGTTCCTTGGAGGTCTCTGATATGATCCCATGAGAGTCACACCAACAGATCAATCTCTTACTTCGATTATTGCGTTCATAGTGGCTGACATCAGATTCATAAAGTGCCTTATCACAAAAAAGCATGCGTGCACCACATGGACGGTGAAGATGCAAAATCAGCAAATATTATAATCAAGCAGCCTCTCAGCATGGAAACTGGGGTTGTATATATATCTGTACTGGACATCAAAGTTTCCATGTACAACAACAAGAAGGAGAAAGTAGCAGCAGAACAGAAGCAATCAAAAGACCCAAGGCCACAAGCTTGGGAATCGTAAAAAGAAAAGGGAAAGAGAAAATTTATCAATCATGAAAATGGTTCAAGAGGAAATCATCAGAAAGGGCCCATGGACAGAGCAAGAAGACTTCAACCTGGTGTGCTTTGTGGGCTTGTTTGGAGACAGACGTTGGGACTTCATAGCCAAGGTTTCAGGTTTGAAGGTGGCGGGAGAGAAATAATAGGTATGGTAATTTGGAGATGGTAGGCTTCTCCAAGGAGCTCCCATTTAACCCACCTGGATTAATATTTTGTTGTAGGTTTGAACAGAACAGGTAAGAGTTGCAGGTTAAGATGGGTTAATTACTTGCACCCTGGCCTCAAAAGAGGCAAGATGACCCCTCAAGAAGAGCGCCTGGTGCTTGAGCTCCACTCCAAATGGGGAAATAGGTTTGACCAAAAAAACATAGCATCTAAATTCATCGCTTTGTTTATCATTATCTAACATTTCTTTGAGTATAATATCCTTTGATGAGTAATGTTCAATACTCGGATAGTTTGACGTGTTGTGTTGTTCGACTGTAATTTACAGTCTGACAACATAACATACCGGATATATGTCAAAACCCTTAATTTCAATTCTTTCAATTTGATTTTACTTGATATAGGATGTAATTAAATTTCATGCAGATGGTCGAGAATTGCTAGAAAATTACCTGGGAGGACAGATAATGAGATTAAGAATTACTGGAGGACTCATATGAGGAAGAAGGCACAAGAGAAAAAGAGGGCTGCATCCCCATCATCATCTTCTTCCCACTGTTCTTCATCCTCAAACATCACCTCAACTGAAGGAGGAGCAAGCTTTTATGACACAGGTGGGCTTGAAATCAAGGCATCATCAGGAGCAAAGAAAACTGGTGGAGATCATCAGGAGCAAGAAGATGAAAAAAAAAGGGACCAAAAGGAGTACTCACTTGATGATATATGGAAGGATATTAATCTGCCAGAAGTGAACAGTATTGAACCAGTTTACAATGGCTATAGTGAAGAAGCCTGCAACATTATTTCTTGCCCTTTAATGGCTTCTCCAGCACCATGGGAGTATTGCCCTGACTCTCTATGGAAAATGGATGAAGAGGAAAGTAAGATGTTTCTCCCAACTACAAGTGACCAATTTCTATCCTGTTTTGAATATGGAAAAGCATCTCTAACTGGCTGATTGGGATTTTATTTATTAAGATTTGTTCATATGTGAAATAGGGTCTTAAGGAAAGCTCCTCTAACCTGTATAATAACATGGGTATGATCTCAGATGATCTCTAAGCTCTTTTTTTCTTCCTGAAATCTGGGTCTGGTCTGCACGTCAGCTGCAGATCACTTGTTTTTATGCATTACTTTACTCTAGTTCCTGTCCTCTATATCCTTGTGTGTGTTTTTCAATTTTCAGTGAGGAAGAGAGAACTTCAAATTTACCATATGATGTTGTTGCTGTGGTATGTCCATGGAAGTATGTTGTATATATGTCTTTTGAGATTTAATTTTCAATATCAAGCTGGTTACCATCAGAATTTTTCTTCTTTTAGCTTATTTTATGCTACATAAAATTGTTCTTGAGCAGCTTCATGAAGAACCTTAAGCATTTAATTAATGTCCAATTACTAATACTTTCCCCCAAATTAAACCCATTAAAGCATCATTAAAGAAAAAAAAGGAATCTTGAATTATGAGCATATAAGAACCTTGAGGAAACAAAAAGGTTGTTCAATTTCTAGCTTTCCCAGATTCTATTTTGCTTCTTCTTTTCCATAAAAAAATAGCTGCAGCCAGCCCTTCAAGTTTGTCTGCAACAAGAATCTATAGTAAACAAATTCTGGGTATGCATTAATGAACTGAATTAATTACTAATTAACTGGTTGAAAACCAAGGATTAGCATGTGAACAAGTGGGGGATGAAAATGGATTAATTTTGGAACAGCAATGTCTGTGAAAAGTACGATAAAAAGGAGAGTACACATGCTATCATCCTACCAGGTCCAGCATGGAGAAAAACTCCTTTTGAGGAGTGTGGTCCAGGTAACATGGTCTTATTAATTATTTGCTAATTAAATCACTAATTTAGTGGTCAGAATAGATGTCCAAATCATTTTCCCATAAGATTTGTTTATTTATTCATATTTGTGGTCCATTTAAAACTGCACAAGCATATCACCCAATAACATCACCTTGTCATGCAAAAGAACATTTAATATTTTTCCTCTCCTGGTGAAAATAAACTCAGAAAGCACTTAAGTTCCAAAGGAAATCTTCTAATGACTTTGCAGATTTAGCCTAAAATCTTTCCAAGAAGAGTTGGGATTTTTTTTATTTTTTACTTTTTCCTTTTGAATATGTATCTACTTCCTAAATTACAAACAGAAATTTATACACAAAAAGGAAAGCCTATATTTATTATTAATGTAGGAAGAAAGTTCAAGAAGTGGCTGTCAACATGATTCTCACATTGCAATTAAAAAAAAGATATTGTTTGCCTCCTTTCCTGTAAGGAGATTGCCTCCTTTCCTGTAAGGAGATACTCTTCATTTCTGCAAATCACAGTTTGATAGATGTGCAAAAATAATTTATAAAAAAGAAAAAAAAAAAAACTTCTACACACATGTCGCACTGCGAAGAAAAAGAGGAAAGTATTTTCCTACATAAAGACAAATAGAACTCACAATCACCTTTTCTACAGTTAGAAGTTAAGGCCACCAAAAGGTAATACAACACACAAGAACTACAGGAAGTGACAGAAAATGCTTATGCTCTACATTCTCTGTAATAAAAAAAAATCTTAATTTATAAAAAAAAGATATTGTTTGCCTCCTTTCTTGTAAGGAGATTGCCTCCTTTCCTGTAAAGAGATACTCTTCATTTCTGCAAATCACAGTTTGATAGATGTGCAAAAATAATTTATAAAAAAGAAAAAAAGAAAAACTTCTACACACATGTCGCACTGCGAAGAAAAAGAGGGAAGTATTTTCCTACATAAAGACAAATAGAACTCACAATCACTTTTCTACAGTTAGAAGTTAAGGCCACCAAAAGGTAATACAACACACAAGAACTACAGGAAGTGACAGAAAATGCTTAGGCTCTACATTCTCTGTAATAAAAAAAAATCTTAATTTTTTCAAAAATCAACAACCATGTTCTTTGTCAAATCTTTGTTCAGTTTTTATTTCCGTCTTTCCAACTCTAGCATTTCATTGGATTGCACATCAGATTTGACAAAATATGCAGAAGAATATTAACATTATCTTTGTTAGTGCCTAGACGTGGATCCTATTCTGCTGTTCTGATAAGTCAATGCCAAAAGAGTTAATTGAAAGTGAAATAATTGGTCATTTCCAGTGATCATCTTTTGTCGTGCCTGTTTAAAGTGATCATCCTTCCTTTTTTTTATTCTTTTTTTTAAAAAATGAATAAGCTATGTATTTTCCACAAACCATAAGCTACACAAAGTCATGGGGCAAAGAGCTGCTCAAAACCAAACACCAAAGGAAGAAAGCAACAGTATTAAAAAAAACCAATATTCCATCTGCTACAAACTGCAGAACACCTATCAGACAGAGGAAACATTTTACAAAGAGAAAACCTATATTTATGCATCGTTTTCAATTTTCTCAAAGATACGATCTTCCGTGATACACTTCAGGGCTGTTTTTCCTTTCCAACCATGTATGATAGATGATATCATGATAGCACTCTCCAAGCTGATTTAACAAGAAAGAATAATGAGGCCATTTCTTTGTCCAAATTCTCTGATGAGGCTATGTTCAGTTCACAGAATCTATGATTTATGGTTTTAATGAAGCCTTTGCGCGCGTGAACACACACACAACAAAAAGAAGAAAAAGAAATGGAATTTCTACAAATAAAACAACATAGTTTAAAGTAGAATATCACTTATATATAAATAACAACATGATTTAAGACATATACAAAATCAATAGAGTCTAAGAACACTTCAAAATCCCCTTAATCTAATATCGCTTCTATCAAAAGAAAAAAGAAACGAAATAGCCCACTCTTATGCTACAAGTCATGGAGGTTCGAACTACTAGTCTACTCGCACACACTGCTAATGTGTCATGGAGGTTCGAACTACTAGTCTGCTAGTCAATGCCATTTTTCACAAGGCTAGACCGCGGTAGCCGAAATAACCCACGTACTCTTAAATATGGGGAAAATGACAGGTAATGAAACTCAGGCCCATCCTGCAGTTTCTGTTTCTGAAGCCCATAAATATCCCTGGCCCAGTTGGGCCCAATCCAAAGAGTCAACGACAACTACCACCATTAACTAACCCGCCAAGTCGCCTACACTCTTAGTCCAACGGTTGGAATTTGGGAAGAGTTGAAGGCACAATGCCAAAGCTATCCAACCTCTATCTCTTGGCCTACAACTCTCTTCAGGCCGTTGCCTGGTAAAGCGCTCAACAGTAAAACCCACCTCCCAAAATTTCAAATATTTGTTGCTGATATGAAATTTCCATTGCAGGGCAGTTTGTCTCGCTTTAAGCTTGAGCAGCTTTGTCTCCACCAAGGCCGTCAATGGAGCTTATGCTTCTGCTGGAGACCTCATCTGTCAGTAATTTTTTTTGTGGATTTGTGATTGAATTGAACAAAGAATTGGTTTTTCTTTTTAATCAAGTTTTGTGTCTTGATCACTGCAGATTTTCTACAAATGGTTCAGTTCTTGGAAGTTATGCACGGAGCCATTGGTAGGTTTTCTGAGACCCAATATTTATATGTTTCTAAGTTTATTATGATTACGAGTTTCATGCTTATTTGTGCTACGAAATTGGAGGTCTTGTGCCGAGTGGAGTGGTGTTTCCTCTGATGCAATGGGCAGGAAGGGCTCATTTTCTGTTTGTTTTGCGCCAAACCCATGAGGTTATTTCTATCCCTTTTTTTTCTTTTGTTTTCTTATTTGATTTTAAGCATTAAAGTACCTTTCTTGTGCGATTTATGGGTTTTGTTATTGAGACTTGAGCTCCCCTTGAAAGGTGAGATTGGTAAAAGGGGAAGGAGCAAGTACAGAATCTGTTGATTTCTTAGGGCTGCTTGTTTGTGCAATGGCCATAATATATAAGCATGGGCTTGAATGCATATATGCTTATTTTATTGTTAGGGATTTGAAGACCTTGATCCTCAATTCTTAAGATCAAATAAATTAAGGACACTTGATAAGCACAACAAAAAACCAGAATTTTTACTTGGTTAACCCCAAACTGGGTTAAACCCACACGGGTGATTTGGGTTTGAATCAAATAAACGAAGAAGCAGAAGAGTATTACAATCCAGAGCATATGGGTTCTTCCTCACACAAGAATAATCTCTTCCCTTGTTCTCAATAAACCCCAACCTCACTCAAGCAAAATTGCACCAAGAGAAATACTAAGTTCTGAAATTCTGAAGAAATGCTTAATTCTTGTCAAAATCTCAACGTTTATGAGGTGTGCTTGTTGTGCACAAATTAATCGCAGTCCATTGTTTTGAGCATTTTGTAGGTCCAAGAGTCGCCATCAGTTTTCATAACGTTTGTTGCTTGGAGCCTAAGTGAGGTAAGTTGGCTCAAAAAAATTTCTACAATCAAATTTCAGTGAACTAAATAATAAGATCACGAACCTGTATGCAGGTTATTAGGTATCCACATTATGCTTTTAACTGCTTGGGAAGTTGCCCATCATGGATTACCTATCTCAGGTTCTACTCTTTCTAATTATGATGATAAACTCAAAATTCATATACAAGCAACCAACGAAATTCTACGCAACAAAAAATTATACAATACAAGTAGAAAGGATTTTATTTGCAATAACAATACTTTTGCGTTTCACTAGGTACACTGCATTCATTGTCTTGTATCCTCCAGGGATGGCTGGTGAAAGTAAGTTCATAGTTTCCATTAGTCTTTGGTTTCAATTTTTTATTGTATGAAAAAATCCTGTCCCCCCGCTGCCCCACCTTTCCTCCCTCTCCTTCTCCCTTGATTTTTGTGTTTACAATGCAGCCTGGCTTATGTACCAAGCACTTCCTTTTGTAAAGAAGACGAGCGTCTTCCCAAATTTCTTTGCTGGCCTCAGCTATTATAACTTTCTGAGGGTATGTTCTGATTTTTTTTACCATGAGCTTCAATATATATGCTTCTTCTTTCCACCTTGCCAATTAGGCACTCATGGTATAGGGTAGGTCCAGAACTTTTGTATAATTTGACTAGACTAAGTGTTTACTTGACATGAATTTTTGGTTACTGTAAGTAAATTCCTAATAGGATAGGATAATTTGGAAATTTGCATGCTATGCTGGGATGTGGTTGGGATTCCTGTTATTAGGTTTTGGTTGGGAATCTAAAACTGAAGTGAGCTTCACATTCTTGCAGGATCTATCAATTCTTAACAATTTCATCTGTGTATTTACACTTAGTGGACGTATTTCTTTTGTTTCCCTGTTAGCTAAGAAATGATGGATTCAGAAAAAATCTACCACCTTCTTGG